ACTAGCGCCGTCTTATCACCTATGCATAAATTAAAAAATAAATATAAAACCTATTTGGAAATTTATAAAACGACACTGGCATAAATGATCGAACGCATTAACACGAACACGATTTGATAAAATGAAGAAAAAAACAAGGAACTTTGATATCCAATAGGAATCTTGTTGATGACGACATCTGCTTTCTGATTGGTTGACCGCACCAGATGTATTTTGATTTTTGAATGAGGGTTTTACGAGCTTTGGCGGGACAATGTCCTTATTTTTTGGTTATTGATAAATTTTTGCAACAATCGAATTGAAAATGAAATAAATGCTTTACCTAATATTTTTTATTATAAAATTCGTTTTCGATAGGTATTCGGAATTTTTTTTAAATGTTCTTTTTCATTCCCTGTTTCAATAAAGAGGAAACATTTCATTGTTGCATTGCCTGTTTTCTTTAGATAGGCTTCGAATACTCCGAAACTAATATGAAAATTCGGTATTGGTTTTCGTTACATAAACACAATCCCGATGTTCTTATAAGATCGGGATCTAATTGAAAAGAAAATTCCCAGAAATAGGCACGATCTCTGCCTACCCCTTTAAAACATATTTATGTTCCTATAAATAGTAAGGAAAGGTATAACATACATTTTATCAGACAGAAATAACTTTGTATGTACAATTATATTATACTTTTTCCTCTCGATTCATTGTCTATTGTTTAATTTCATTTGTTATAAATCGACTAATGTTTTGATAGCAATCGATATATTTATACAAACATGATAGTCACTAATAGTGACATGGTTTTAAAATATTTCAATGATCTCATCTCTATTTTAAAATTGTTTATAGATTGTGCACGAGAAAATTTCGAAATTTAAAACCGTAGTCAAACTGGATCAAATTCTACCCACTTCATCATTTCGTATATTTTTTGAAGTAGGTACCTTTTTTAGAAGTAAACTCTATATATTATTTATTAACATACCTACATTCAAAATATAATTTATCAGATCTCTTTTATTTTTTAAATGTATTTCATCATTATTATAATATTTATTTTAATTGAAAAGATAAGTTTCGTAAAGTTTGTACAGTTTCATTTTACAATGTAAGGAGTTTAACAAGCCGTATTCACTGATATAAGTCGATTCGCTATGCAGTTAAAATAAAGTTTATAAAACAAAAGCGGCCGAGGAAAACCTGTTTGCAAAAATCTCACGATTTCGCGCGGCCGGTGCGCCGACAGACTTTTTTATTTCTTTTTTTCTGAACATACTGCTTTATAAAACGCTTTGAAAACATAAAAGAGACTAAAACAATAATTAGTATTTATTCACTTACCGGTAATTTTAACTGACACGATCCTTGTTTAATTCAATAAATAATTCGCATAAAATGCATTCACTAGCGCGCACTCGTGACCCTAGCGGACATTAGCACTAACAGAAGTACCAACGTCACAGAAGGAAGGCTGTCTGACTGTGTAGTTGTTGTTACGTTGGCAATATGGGCAACATTTTGAACGAGTTTCGTTTCCAACAAGAATTCTATTATTTTTTTTATATATTTTATTTTCTGTAAATACGTTACCCGAGTCATTTTACAATACAGTCTAGACTTAAGAAATAATTTTACACGTAAACTTAGTTTTACAATTCCATTACTCTACATGGTGCTATTTCCGAACGAAGCCATTTTCTGTCGCGTTCCAGAACACTGTGACAGAAAAATACAAAACATTGAGCATTGAAAACGTTTGACAATTGTAGGTCATTGACATTAGGATACGAATACACTGGGGACTGTTAAAGATCTGTTAAATAACGCTTTACAAACTGGTTAATGTAAATTGACTATGTTTTTAACCACGTATATTTTTATTGATTAACTGACTGATTAATTGACTATGTTATTGATTTATCGAATATATTTTGATTTATGACGTTTACAACGATAGAACGATGACCACGCGAATTTTTTGAATCGCCATTTGTCGAGCGTAGGTTCATATATCAACATAAAATCCATGACACCTACTAACAAAAAATGTGGTTCACACAAATTGGTAATTTGTGTTTACCGCAGACTTACAATAGATAAGCATACCGAATAATAATAAGGAATAAGTAAACATCTGAGAGCTAAGTACGAGTTTATTTTACGTTTTGCGGGATTGAAACGCGACCGCGTTCTACGCTCTGATTGATTGGTTCATTGGAGCCGGCCAATCAGAACGCCGAACGCAGTCTCGTTTCGATTTTGCTACAGTTAAAAGAAATTCCTCGTTATACGTATAATGATATCCATCTTTCTTTGTCCTTGTTCTGTCAAGCACCAACCTAATAATGGCGTCTCATTCTTTTACCTGTAGCGACACTGCTCCACACATAGACAAATTTTGACATGAAGCCAGTTTTTCCGTGCCGCCATATTGATAAGCTTTTACCTACAAATATTTTAAATAAAATGGTGAAATGGTAACTTGCCTACCGATGTGACAAAAACAGCTCTAATAAAATATCTGGAATAACCTTTCATCAGAAAGTTTTTATTTACGTTGTTGTACGTAAAATCAAATTGTTTATTTTTTTAAATAAATCAACTGTTTTGATGATGTGTAATCGTTTATAACGAAGCCTTATCAACTATCACGCCATTTACCCATAAGTTTACTTAGAATACAATCAACAAAAATTATAAACAAATAAAATCAACTTAATGTTTCATTCATGACTGCTCAAGTACTTGTAGAATCAACAGAGAACGGATTTAGTTCTCGCATCATGGTTGTAACATAGTGCAACAAAACCAACATTTTCATATTGAGTAATAGTTACTACAAAGTTGAATAATCTAACAGACTTGTTTTTACAATAATTGTTGTTATACTTGTAACAGGTACAACTATTGTATACCTACTATGTATCAATTTTATCACAATTGCCTGTTATGAAATACTAAGGAACGTACCTACTACCAAATTTAGGACAGGACAAGGAAATAACTAGTCTTGGGAGTGATCAGTGGTATTAAAGGGGAAGGGAGGGAGATGACTCTTACCTGATATCCTTAACCATAACAGGTTGGGCTCGCTGCCATTGCAGCGGTAAGTCCCCTCTTTGAGGAGTGGCTTGAGAGACGCTACGGCGTCCTCACCTACCGCCTGACGCAGGTCCTCACCGGACATGGAAGTTTCGGGAGGTACCTGTGTCTGATGGGGCGGGAGGAAACGCCCGGGTGTCATCACTGCGAGGACCGCCCTGAGGACACGGTGGAACACACAGTGGGAGAATGCCCTGCGTGGGCTGAGCACCGCCGTGCCCTCAGGGAAGTGATCGGCGATGGCGACCTCTCGCGTCCGGGCCTAGTGCAGGCCATGATGCGGAGCGAGGGGGACTGGGATGCCGTCTCCTCCTTTTGCGAAGCAGTCATGCTAGCTAAGGAGGAGGCGGGACGCGTGAGGCAGCGAAGCGCTGCCTCCTCGCAACCCAGCCATCGCGAAGGACACACCGGGCGTCGGGGATCGCGGGACGATCTCCGGCCACCGTAAGCGCGGGCCTGCGGACGGCGAGCATGGGTGGCTCCCCGTCCGACCAGAAACAGACCCGAGCGTACGGCGCGTCGCGTTCCGCGCGCGCCTCAAAGAGCCATCAGACCACCACAGATGGGGCCCAATAGGGCCGATGCCGATTCGGAGTCGCGGAGAACCTAACGGGTAACCGGGGCTCCGGCTCGACGTGCAGGAGAAGGAACGGGGTGGTTTTTAGTCAGTAAGAGTCTGACACTCCCTTCCGCCTCACCCAGGCGGGAGCAGTCATTCGATGATTTACCCCCTTAAAAAAAAAAAAAAAAACCATAACAGGTGCCTTAATAAAAAATATTGTTCTTCCTTTAACGTGTTTTATTTGAAAAAGCAATGTTTTATACTAATTCTATATTATAGGGATATTAAAATTATTGTTAAATTAAAAAAAAAAATTAAACTATTTGGATTATATAAATTTCATAGGATTCTCATACATTTCCGGTAACATATACTTAAAGATCGTAATAAAAATGGATATTGGCCGAGTGGTTTCGGATTCGATTTCCGGATCGGGCAAAGTATTACTGGATTTTTTTCAAAATCTCAAACATCCAACACCCGTATATGGCAATAGGCTCACCCCCTATTACATGGGATTCATAACATAAATAGTGAAAAGTGGGTATTACATTGTACAATGGCATTAAGTGTGTAATATGCACCTCTGCCTATCCCTTCGGGGTAAAAGGCGTGATGTTATGATGTATTATTTAGAAATATTTACTATTTATCCCAAAATACGCATCTCTGTGTATATATCAAATAATGTCCTTTATTTCTAATTTATTGCGCATGTGTATTTTTTGGCTTCACAAATTTTAGCTCATGTTCGGTCTGCTTCACCTTATTTATAAGTGGTGTTACTCTTTTAACCGGCAATACACGAGCCTGAAAAATAGAACGCGAATATCCATACAAACTTTGTTTAGTCATTGATGTCATTGATCACTGGATATAGTTTCATTATTTTAGACGGCAAGTTTTTTTTCAATTAAAAAAAAATAAAGGAAAAAGTTTGTTTTATTTTGTATACCTAACAGTAAAGTGAGAACTCAGCTTTTAATGAAACTATGCTCCAAATAACGACATTTATAATCGCTGAGCTGGAACGCGGCTGCACAATTGTTTTGATTTTTGAACTACGTCCGTTTCCAACCGTCATTTCTCATCAGTTGAAGATTTGGAGAACTGACGCTCTGAAATTATTTCAAAATAAATTGAATACAACGCATGTTTCGTTGCATTTTAGTGTTTTAAAAGTGAACTTATTATAAACAGCAGGCTGTAAACAAACTAAGAGAGCTCGATATTAACGTTAAGAGTGTTTTAGTGAAACTACAATTATTTGCAAACAAATAAACATAAACCGTTGGACCTTAGAGTTTGATTTTAACCGTGTTTTAAACTAAATTAGTTGACAATGGAGTCTGCATCGGTGACTGAGCGCTTAAACAAGCTGAGAGAGGAGAGAATGGCCCGAGAAAAGGAGCGAATTGCGAAGGTAAGCCAGGATATTCATTTGTCAATCAAATGGTTGCATGTTATAAAGTTTAAACGCGTCATACACGGTTGGCTTAACATTTAGATGCTTTAGATAGTGTTTTATTCAGGGATAAATGAATAGGTTGTGGTTTTATCGGCTAGATGTAGTTAGTATAGGAAAACACTTATCTGTTTCTTAAATTATTTAGTAGCAATATAAAAAAGACTTTGTCACATTTTAACAAGTCTATCTACCATGATCTGAATCCGTTATCTTTTGTCTTCATTATACTTTTGTATAAATTTTTTATCTACTTTTCTATTTCAAATCCTTTTTCCTAATGTTTGTTCAAAAGTCAAAGTCAAAGTCGAAATCATTTATTTCAATTAGACCAGGATGGCACTTTTTAACATCAAACAACAAAAATTTATAAGTGAAGCTAGTTGCTCATTCCAAGGCGTAGATTCCTATGGAGAAGAACGAGCAAGAAACTCCATAGGTTACTCTGTTCAACTGTTGTGTTCAATGTTTGTTAAAGTTCTAACAGCAGGCTTTTGCCAAATTATAACTAATGATTTTCTATATTTCAGCTTCGTGAACTAAACCTGAAGAAGTACAACAAAAACGAAGACTTCAAGAATTCCACTTCAAACCTCTCTATAGTCAATAAGTCTGTTAAATCTGAAGTGAACTTAAGAAATAATAGTGCAGGTAACTATTACAGTAATTTTTTTTTGCACTTAGACATAAGGCTGGTTTTCATCTGACGCTGGAGGCACATGCACCCTCATTGCTGATGGCCGAGATAAATGAACTTCTAACTTCTTAATCTACAATTAAGAAAAATCCACAACATTTATTCTTACAAAAAGTAGTCTTTAAACGTATAGGAAATAAGGTCTATATTGGTACTCCATACATGGGGACTGGGCAGCTAGGGAGTGTTATTTAATGATGCCTTCTATCTACACGCACAGCCAGGTCAGCCACTAGGTGAGTAACTAGTTTATATATTGGCCGTCAGTGCTGACCATAGAAATAAACTAGTTATTATATTAAACTGAAGCGTTTGTTTGTTTGTTGTTTTTTTTATTATATTTGAACATGCTATATCTCAGGAACTACTGGTCCAATTAATTTAATAATTAATAAATTCTTTTTTATTTTGTCAAATATAAGAATGAAATAAAATAGAGTATTAACAATACTGCGATAAAACGAATCAAAGTTTAGGAGTGGAAGCTAGCTACGTCATTTTTGAGTAGAAAACGTACAACGAGATGTCACACGATATTATAAATCAATATATCGTTAAAAGTATTATTTGTTCCCATGTGAAAATACATAATACCTATCTAATATTTTTAATTAATCTACCAGACGGACATTAAGATAAAAATTGATCATCTACTTTTACCCTATTGACAAATTAATTCTCTCCGCAGGTCCTGTCAGAAATTATATGTATGTGAATGGTGCTGCAAAGAGGCCTGTCTCAGTACCGATGAAACCAAAGAAATGTGAGGTTAATTCAAAATCTGGACTTCCAAAACCCCAAGTCAAATTGACATCCAACATTCCCAAAATTATGAACAAACCTATAATTGCTGCTAATGTTAATAAAAAAAATGGCAACGTAACTCATAATAAGAAGCCTAATAATATAACTGAGAGGAAACTCTCCACAACTGACAAAAACCCAGTCTTGGGCAATAAACCTCAAGTTCCCCGTGTCAGTCAATTACAAAAACCTAAGTTGGCCAATTTTGCTGACAAAAAGCAAAACTTTCCCATCAGAAAGGCTGAAAGTTTAACAACAAATGTCAAAATTCGTCAAACTCTGGCCGTGGCCAACAATAAACCATCTTCGAATTTACCTCGCAAGTCTATGATCCCTCAAAGCGCTTCAAAGTCAGAATCAGTCTTTGACCGCCTATACAAACCCAAACCGGTTCAAAATTCTCACAAAAATGAGATTGAAAAACTGCAAACTGATCCGAATTACTTGAAAAAGGTGATCCGCACCTCTGGATTAATTTTGAACAAACGACACACAGTTTTTGAGCCAGCCAAAGCAAAGATAGCAGTGCCAGTCCGTAGATCAATCTCCGCTGTCCATTTCAAGCGGATTGGTAAGCAGGAACTTGGCAATTGTATTCATAAATGGGCTTCCATCGGTGACAAGTTAAATAACATGCATTTAAAACATGTCAACGAGGACGAGGATATACAGGAAGAAAAAGTAGTGTCTGCGGTCAAGAGTGAGAGAAAAAAAGTCACCTTTATGACTCCGATGGGCAATTTCAACACTCCTCGTCCCGAGGAATTACAAGCGAGGTTGAAATCTTGGCTTCAAAAGAGAGGGAAGTCGTTGGATTCCTATCATCATTTGCAGTGTTTCGGTATACATCATTTACCACAAACTATCAAGTTTGATACTAAACTTTTTGATGAGGAAAACAAGGAAAATATAGCGGTTGAATCGGACAGCGATGATGATTCTTACACGGAGAACATGAATGAGGACTCAAAGGCCAGTACGCAAAGGTGGAGGAATGCTAGCTGTGTGACAGACAGTGAAGATTTCAATGATTCACACAATACTACTGCTACATGCAGTGATATCGTTAATTTAGATGAAGTTGTGATTGGTGCGTTGAATGATTTGACGGAGTTGCTTAAAGAGGTAAGTTATTTAATATTTCCATTTTATAACCAACAAACTTCTACCGGAGGCTTCGCCCGCGTTCCCGTGGCATAGAAAGTAGCCGATGTGTTTTTTCAGACCATAATCTGAAAGGGTACAGAGACACACACATCCTCACAAACTTTCACATTTGTACCTATAGTAGTATTAGTAATATTAAACGAAAGAAGTATACAGAGCGAATATGAATGTGGCCGTCGGTAGAAGGCGCCCTAGACGGACATATAGTGACCAGCAGCTGTAGCCAAATGCCATTTAGCGCTTTTTTTTTTTTTTTTTTTTCGTCTTTGGCAACTGAGTCTCCACTACGATGTTGTCGACTATACTGCCAGTGTCGAGTGGTGACGGCAGTTAATGCACCGTCGAACTTTAACTTTCTGGTAGTTGTTAGTAACTGGAAGAGACAAAAACAATTGGGTTAGTAAACATATACCGTCAATAGACCTAAAATTATAATATTATTACCTAACACCAGATAAATAATTAAATAGAAACAATCATAACACACAATATTTACATAAATACACACCGTTATATTTTAATACAATTTTCTTTAATAAATTTGGACAAGCACTTAATTAATTTGGGAGAAAAATTTGTTAGGAGGGAGTGGAAGTTGATTGGAAGAGGGATTTGGATTTTGGGAAGGTTTCCATATAAATCGAAGGATTGGGAATTTAGAGGGCAAGAGAAAAATATGTGGTCTAGGGTTCCCTCATCGAGACCACATTCGCACAGCGAGTTGTCACGTACACGGATCTTGGCAAGGAATACCGGACTAGTACAGTGGCCGAGTCTGAGTCTGCACAAGGACGAAATAGTTTGTCTGGGAAGCTTCTTATACTTGGAAAACCAAGGTTTCCGCCGGATGTCGGGCTGGATACTTGCAAAGTAAGCTCCTTTACGCTTGGAGGAGTCCACCCACACTGCAGCCCACGAGTCGAAAAGCTTGAGTTTGGTATCCGCGCGTATGTCATACCCATACACAATGTAGTGGTGACGTTCAACATTATTCACGGCCGCAAACTTTGCCAATCTGTCAGCACACTCGTTACCGCATATACCAGAGTGGCCAGGGATCCAGGCGATCTCGATATTTAGTCCGTCGTTTTGGCAGGAGAAAAGTAAAGATTTTATCTGTATTATCAGACTACTATGAGTCCGGGAATAAAGCTGGTCTTGACCGAGCGCTTGTAAACTACTTAGAGAGTCTGAGAAAATAACTGAGTTTCTGAGGTTGTGCGATTCAATGAATTTAATGGACTCCAGAATGCCGACACATTCCCCAGTGAAGACAGAGGCTTCAGGGGGACACTTGGAGAGCAGAGCAATTCTTGAGTTCTGGTAATATGTTGCCACTCCTGTGCATCCGTTTCGGGTCAATTTGGATGCGTCCGTGTAAAACACATTCCAGCCGTTCCAGTAATTGCTCAGCGCGCGTTCAAAATCACCTTTAGCGTCCACTGATGTCTTTGAAATGCCCAACCCCAGGACTAGCTTTGGCCTAAAGTGAATGACCTCGTATGCGGAAGAAAAAACCGGGAGAATAGGGAATTGACAGATAGGTGCAGAGAGGTTTTTAAGCTCCCTATACCTAGCAATCACAGGTGGGACAGGTTTATTATTCCAATATGGAGAGGAGTCATAAGAACTGTGGATTTGCTCAAGGATAGGAAGGAGGGGATGAGAAGAGCGGGTAAGGACTTTAGAAACGAAACGATCTGCCAGGTATTGTCTTCGAAGGTCAAAGGGGGGTTCTGCACATTCAACCTGGAGAGCGTTTATGGGGGATGACTTCATAGCTCCAATAATTATTCTTAGGCATTTGGCCTGAATGGAATCTAGCTTTTTAAGTGCTTCCTTATTGCAAGGTGCCATAAGGAAGCAGCAATAGTCTATCACACTTCTGACCAACGCATTATATATGAGCTTTAATGTGTAGGGGTGAGCACCCCACCATACCCCAGCTAATGCTCTGAGTACACATACTGACCGTTCGCACCTTCTAACTACTGTTTCCACATGATCAACCCCCGACATCCTAGAATCGAGGATAACGCCCAGGAACCTAGCCTTCCTCCCAACTGGAATAGGTTGGCCGTCTATCTCTATAAGAGTGTCCGGAAGGCGCCGTCTGCGTGAAAAGATGACAGCTGAGCTTTTTGGGGCGCTTAAAGATAACCCATGATTAAGAAGCCATTGGTATAATGAGGTCAAAGAGACATTCATGGAGGCGGTAGCGTCTGTTATAGAGCAGCTAGTGACCATTAATGCGATATCGTCAGCATACTGGAGGACTTTGCAATCATAATTTAGACAAGAAGGGAGGTCGTGGGTATAGATATTATATAGGATGGGACTAAGGACTGACCCCTGAGGTAAACCCCTCCAGGCGGTTCTCTGTGTAGGGTTATCCTCAGGAGTTCTCAGTTGAAGGGTACGGTTGGAAAGGATGCAGCCTATAATTTGGCAAATCCTACTCGGGATTCTCAGCTCCTGCAATTTCTGCCTGAGAAGGGGTAGGAGGACAGAGTCATAGGCCGACGAGACGTCCAGAAAGACCGCCACCAACGACTCATTCCTGCTAAGGGCCAGTCGGATGGCTGACGTGAGGGTACCCACACTATCAGCCGTACCCAGACCTTTCCTGAAGCCGAACTGAGCCGCCGGGAACAGCCCCCGGCTTTCCATCGACCATTCCAACCGGGTCTTTATTAGGTGTTCAAGGATTTTGATAAGTATGGACGATAGGGCAATAGGTCTGTAAGACGAATGGTCACCAGGATCCTTGCCAGCTTTTAACAGCGGCATGATAACCTGAACCTTCCAGATAGGAGGAATATAGCCGAAAGTAAAACAGAAATTGACTAAGTCAAGGTAGTACTGCTTGGTTTTGGCTCCTGCTTTAACCAAGAAGGAGTAAGGAAACCCATCAATGCCTGGTGCGGAATCCTTTACATGATTAAGGACCATTTGGAGCTCATCGATGGTGAAATTTTTATCGAGTGGGTCTCGTGAATTCTCATGTTGACCCGGACAACATTCATCCTCGCCAGGGACATACAGTGGAGCAATGTTGGTGAAGAAATTGTGGCTCAGACCTTCAGGCAAAATGGAAATTGAAGGAGGCTTCGAAGAATTTCTGAAGCTCTTCACTCTCCGCCACACTGTTGCCACCGGCGTGGACGGGCTTAGGGAACCACAGAATCTCTGCCACCCCTGTCTCTTCTTCTTTTTAAAGTTTTAAAGTTTTCTTGACCTAGCCAATATCTGCTTGAAATTAAGGAGATTTTCCAGGCTCATGTCGTGGTTATATGCCTTTTCAGCCTCATTCCTGGCTCTTATCATGGCAGTACATTCACTATCCCACCAAGGAGGGGAAGGGATTTTGCCTTTTGGTGTGCTTTTCACTGGGAAGCAATCTTCAGCTGTGGAAGCTATCAACTCAGAAAACTTTGAAAAACACTCCAAAGCATTCTGGTTATCAATGGGTGGGAGAGAAGAAATGCGGAAGTCTAATAATTTTGAATACAGGTCCCAATCTGCTTTTTCTAATCGATATTTTAATAGAGGGGGGAGGGATTTATCAGGAGTGGATTTGGAAGGATTTTTGATTATGATGGGATAGTGATCGCTACCATAAGTCATATTCAAACAGCTCCAGTTCAGCATGCTTGCCATATTAGATGAGCAGAAGGTTAAGTCCACACAACTGCTTCTTTGTCCAAATGCAGATCTACGGGTCGGGCTGCCGTCATTAATATTACATAGGTTGAGCTCATCCATCATTTCAACGAACTTGCTGCCTATGTTGTCGCATAAATCCGAACCCCATCTATAATGATGACAGTTGAAGTCACCCATTACGATAATGGACCACTGACTGACATTAATAAATTTTTAATTAAAGCCAAATGAGTAACAAGAGGGTGCGCAATATAAAACATAAAAAAATTAATCCTCAGCCTTAACAGCGACAACATTTATGTCATCGCCGACGAAGGGTAAAGGAATCTGGGTGAAGGGTACTTTGTTGTTAACTAACAAAGCACAACCTCCATAACCATCAGATCTGTCCTGTCTGACAATGCTGAAGCACGGGATCCCGAAATTGATATTCGGTCGGAGCCATGTCTCAGCAAGTCCACAAATCGATGGTTTGAATTTATTAACTAAATGTATCAGGTCACTCTTCCTGGGAAGAGTACTCCTCACGTTCCACTGAAGAATTGTAAGTGGGTGGAATTTTATATATGTAGTCTAGGATAGTAGCTAATCTATGGGCGACGTGGTCAGGTACATTTTGATTAGGGTTAGATAACACTGCCATGAGCATGCTGGAAATTACATCTAAAATGTTAGAGCTACGAGTGTTGGTTCCGGATTCCACAGGGAAAGCGCAACCATTCTGGGATGGAGAAAAAGAGTAATCATGGATAAGGGCCTGATGGGCCTTCTTATCATAGCCGGGAGAAAGAGGAGCATGGGATTTGGGTTTGACAAAAACTGTTTTTTTGTAAGACTGTCTTTGTGGGGATGGTTTTTTATTTGGTGTTGATTGAATGTAATTGGTAGACTTGGATTTAGAAACCTCGGCATAAGATTTTTTGACCGCAGGAAACACATGGCTTGCTTCCGCATAGGAAATCGCTTTTTCAACCATTAAGGCCTTAATACTTTTCTGGCGTCCTAACTCAGGACAGGAGCTGTTATTGGCATAATGATTGCCATTGCAATTTATGCAACGTGCAACTTCTTCCGTCACTAGGCAGCCATCGCCAGGATGATCCTGACCACATCTGAAGCAACGCGGTTTGGAGCGGCACAACGTGCGGGTGTGCCCAAAGCGACAACAGTTGTAACACTGTATTGTAGGGTATGTATACAATTCTACAGGGAGAGCAGAATAAAAACAAAAAACTTTCTTTGGTAAAATTTGCCCATCGAAAGTGAGAACCACAGTTTGGGTAGGCTTCCATTCCGTACCATTGTCTGATGAAACTCTACGGTTCATCCGTCTTGCTTTAATTGCAATCCCACACCCAGCGGGAACCTTAATGTTCCTAATAATTTCCTCCTCTGACCATTCAATGGGAACATCCCTCACAATGCCCATTCTAGTTATGTTGAACTGAGGGATTGAGGTAATATAATTTTGTGCTACCACGCAGTTAATAAGGAAGCTATTCGCATCCTGGTGAGACACAAACTCAACCGACACTCTGTTTCTACCGAGTCGCTTCACTCCTCCAATTTTAATATTGTTGATGTTATTCTTTGTCAAGAACATCCCGAATTTGATTGGGTGGAGAGTAGTGCCACTCGTCTGGGAGTCTTTAAGAGAAACATGGACAATATAGGGAGGGTTGTCTCTAGCCGTATAGCACTGCCTACCATTAATACTTTTCGCTAGCTTCGGAGGATTGATACGGGATAGAATGGGAGAACCAGCAGGTCGTTTCCTGTTAGCATTGCTTTCGGAATCCATTGATTCAAGATCTTGGTTGTCATGGGGGAGCGTGACGCATAAAATGGGATTGTACTCTGGAGATTTGTCGGGAGGGTCAGGAGGCTTCTCTTCATCCATTGTTAGGTATAGGAGTAAAAAAGGTGGGAAGGGGAAACAAAACTTAAGACTACTACACCTTAATAAAACTTACACACACAATTACACAGCACAAAATTAAATCATTTCAATTTAGTTCACTATGAAAAAGATCACTAAAATTGACAACAATCGTAGTACCAATAAAAGCACGTGCGTAACCTTCACCACTACCAACGAAAGTCCCATTTAGCGCTTGTCTACATGTAGAATAGAAAACCAAATTATTATGGAATTGACGTAAATTTTGACACTTGTCAGTGTCATCCCCATACATTTTGAATTCTACTCTCTCTGTAATCTAGCGCTAAAGTGGCGTTTGGTTAAAGGCCCAGATTGGCGATATATTAAAGAAGGCCAAATTAAAAGTACCCTTAACCGACGAGCATACATGAAAAGATTGATGACTGTTGAAAGATTGATGATGAAGCGAAAGAGGTATGTAGGAATCGTAGTAATTGGCGTTCCATAGTCTCTGTCTACCCCCATGGGAGACAGGCGTGAAGTTATGTATGTATTTAACTTAAATAGTAGGATAACTGTGTCTGTTGGAACACCTTGGATCTATCTTGGAGTTCATACAATAACCGGTTATACTTAAGGTAGATCTAATTTCACATCAACATCTTGTGACTGGAGGATGAAACTCTTCTACATTAATTAGCCTTTAGCAATAATCTTAATCCGTCTCCATTCTTAACAGAACAACAGATAGTTTGGAAATCACTATTTAAATGAATACCTACTACTCTCTTGAGATCTTATTTCTGTGGCCTTAAATTAATTGAAAACTTTAGACACGTATTTTTTTTTCTCATAAAATTAAATTCTTTCGATGATATATTAATTTGAAATATCGTATAACGTCACAGCGTGCCACACGTTATGACGTAACAACCTCCCACTCCTAAACTAAGCGCCATTTTATCTTAGTATTGCAACTTATTACGAGAAAATAAAAAAAATACGTGTCTAATATTTTTTCATTATCTAACTGACGGACTAATTACATTTCTAATGTTGATACCCTGGAAGCTACCCAATTGTTTTTTTCTTGTTACTAAATAATTATACATAAAATGTTCAGCACTGGTAATATTGAAATCACTAGCGCTATCTATAATATGTATTTTATAGCAATGGGGATGATGACAGGGTATGAAAATTAAAAATATAATTAGTCCGTAAGTTAGGTAATGAAAAAATATTAGACACGTATTTTTTTATTTTGTCGTATAATAAAACAATACTTAGATAAAACGAATCAAAGTTTAGGAGTGGGGGCTAAAACGTCATTTCTTAGTATAAAATGTACTGAGAAGTGACGTCACGCGACATTTCAAATCAATATATCTTCGAAACTATTCGTTTCTGTGAGAAAATAAAAAATACGTGTCTAATGTTTTTAAATAATCTATCAGACGGACATTAAAATAAAAATTAGTCGTCTACCCTGCCCGTCCCGGCTTCGCACGGGCCACGGGGTAGAGAATTATTTGTTTTTGGAAATTTGGATTGTTGTAGTGACATAACTACAATAGTTAGACATATGCTACCGCGGAGTTTTTTGTAGACATTATGATGTTCTTCAATGTTGTTGTACATTATTTTGTTCTATCGCATTAGCGAAACTATGAAGTTTCGGCAGCGCATTCGACGAAAGACATTTTAAGACTCATTTTTCTACACCTTCGGTTACATTGTTCAAATTTTACCAAGGATCCCTAATTTTTTTCAAAATGAAATGTAGCATATGTCAAATTGGAAGAATGTAGCATTCTATTGGTGAAATTATTTTTTTAAATCGGCCTAGTACTTTTTGAGACTATTCATTACAAACATACAAAAATAGGTACAAATATTTCCTCTTTATAATATTAGTAAATAATAAAAAAGTGGTTAGTTGGTTGCGGACTACTCAGTGTTTCATTACTAAGTACAAAATTTAATTTTTCTTAAATTATTCCAGGGTTTCGACTGGGAACAATGCGCGCGCTGGCTGCGTGCGATACGGGAGCGTTTCCCGTCGGCTCCACACAGCGCCGCCTACTGGGAATGTCGCGCAGCACTCGAAGAGACGCGGGGAGATCTGCCAGCGTCCGTGCAGTGCTGGGAGGAAGCTATTGCTAAGGGGACTGAGGTGACTGTCTGATATTTATTTATTTATTTAATATGATTCATGCACAAAATGTACAAAAAGGTGGCCTTAATGCCGCAGGCATTTTCTACCAGTCTGACCTTTGGGTGATGCAGAGAAGAGTAATTGGTAGGTGCAAGGGGCAAGCAGTGATATTATTTAACAATGAAAGAAAACTAATATATTTCGGAGATATACATACATAAATAAATTTAATTATAATATACAATACCTATATTATTATATACCAATATATATTTATCAGGGATGTTAGGGAGCTCCGTAACCGTAACCGAAACTATCGGATATCCGATATAAAAAATAACCGTAACCGAATCCGAAATAAAAGTTTCGGATACTATCGGATAGCGGCGTGACGTATAAACGAAACAATTATATTACCTATTTGTATTTTACTTTTGAAACATAACATAACATAACATCACGCCTTTTATCCTCAAAGGGGTAAGCAGAGGTGCACATAATACCACTGTACAATGTAACACACACTTTTCACTATTTATGTTATGAGTCCCATGTAATAGGGGGTGAGCCTATTGCCATATACCGGGCACAGTTCCAGACTCCGTGCTACTACTGAGATTTTTTTTAAAACCCAGTAATACTTTGCCCGACCCGGGAATCGAACCCGAGACCCCTTGCTCGGCAGTCGCAATTGCGACCACTCGGCCAACGAGGCAGTCTACTTTTGAAATTCCTTAAAATTTTAATATCCGTATCCGAAATTATCCGAAACTAACGGATAATCCGAAATAATTTCATATCCGTACCCGTAACCGTATCCAGTATAATAATCATTTCTATATCCGTATCCGAAATTTCATATCCATAACATCCCTGATATTTATGTATAGGAGACTGTATTGTAGAGTTACGAACCCATTTATGGATCATAGAATTAGCTGGTTCGTGCGGGAGTGGAACTCGCTGGACGTTTTAGACCAGCTTGATGGCCAGTCATGATTGGCCAGTGCGCCGACTCCGAGTGTAGAGCCAAATAAATAACACTAAAAAGTTGATAGATATTTTATATATTATTAAATATGCCATTGCTAAACGAGTTACTATAAAATAATATCTATCAATTCGATTCCTGGGTTGGGTAAAATATTATTAAACTATTGATAAGAACATATCCTCGTTGCCGACTCGTTGCGGACTGCCTCGTTGGCCGAGTGGTCGCAAGTGCGACTGCCGGGCAAGGGGTCTCGGGTTCGATTCCCGGGTCGGGTAAAGTATTACTGGGTTTTTAAAAAAAAATTCTCAGTAGTAGCACGGAGTCTGGAATTGTGCCCGGTATATGGCAATAGGCTCACCCCCTATTACATGGGACTCATAACGTAAATAGTGAAAAGTGGGTGTTACATTGTACAGTGGTATAATGTGCACCTCTGCCTACCCCTTCGGGGATAAAAGGCGTGATGTTATGTTATGTTATGTAAGAACATATCCTGACACAGAGTTGACAAAATATGTATACTAAGACAAAAATTAATTCAAAACTTATAACATAGCCGGTTACTGTTATTAAGTAACTAGCTACTTCCGCGCGTTTTCACACGCTCTGCTCAGCTCCTATTGGTCGTAGCGTGATATTTTATAGCCTATAGCATCCTCGATAAATGCGCTATCCAACACAAAAAGAATTATTCAAATCAGACTTGTAGTTACGGAGATTAGCGCGTTCAAATAAACAAACAAAAAAACTCTTCCGCTTTATATAATAGTATAAGATTAAATGTACACTTCTGCCTATACCTTCGTTTAACAAAAGGCATATGATATGTTTATCACTTAATTCTACTTATTAACACCGTTTTTATAACATTCCAGCGGTCAGTAGTAGAAGCCAATCTAGACCAGCTCTTAGATAAATTTATGCAGCTGAAGATAAGTCCGAACAGCCACGGCAAGCGGCGCCAGGTAGACCCCAAGCTGGTGGACGTCAAAAACGTATTCAAAAGCACTATCATACGATTTGCTGTTCAACAAGCGAAGTTGTAAGTATCATTTCATCTATTAACTCGTCGAGTACCGGTTTTATAGACACAATTAAAGAACAATAGGTTGCGGTCACCGGTGACCGCTTGGTGTTTGACAGTTTAATCTGTCAAACACCAAGCGGTCACCGGTGACCGCAATCCATTGTTCTTTAATTGTGTCTATAATGACAGTAATCAACGAGTTAAATGGGACATGGGACTCATAACATAAATAGTGAAAAGTGGGTGTGACCTACATTAAATATGGACATATCTGTTTACCCGTTTGGGGATTAAACGTTTATGATTATGTTAAATGTATGTAGAAGTGGCCTACCTCGGCTTCGCACGGAATTTTATAACGAATTTGTCTAATTATTACCTGCCAAGTGAAATAAATAGGTAATCCGTCGCGCTGGGTTGTAGATTGAACGTCGATATATGGGTTTGTTGTGGGAAAGCCATCCTTCGGAATCGGTCGACTCGGTCATAGAAACCGGCGGAACACGAGTACAGCGTTATGCAACCCTGTGAGTGAATTACCGAAACCGAAGACTCAATAAATAAATGGTTTTTCTTTCTTTTAATCCAAAATTATTCCCCAAGTAGTTGATTATTATACTCTACAGGTGTTGCAGGTATCTCTGTCTTTAAATGGCACTGATTTCTTACCGTCTGGTGACTCATATGACCCAGCTTGGGCTCAGCTCTGCTTCCCCCTTTGGGGCGCAAAGACATAGTTATCTAGGACTTACTTTCTCTTCAGGTATGAAGAGGTGTCAGAAACTAAGAATATTGAAAAGCATTCAAATGATATAATATTTCCAAGTCGTATGGCAGAGGTACACTGTCACTAATATGTTCACGGCAAGATTTAAAGGTGCGAGAATCAATTAATATACTTAGATCAGGATCTGTGTGAAATGGTTATTCATCATCATCATAATTATCATCATCGTCGTCAAAAGCCGAAAGACGTCCACTGCTAGACAAAGGCCTCCTCCTTAATCTTCCACGTCAAACGACAACTCGCCACCTGCATCCACTGGCTCCCCGCAACTCTGGCGATGTCGTCGGTCCACCCAGTGGAAGGCTTGCCCACGCTTCAAATGTTTATTGACGAATCATAAGTGTAGAACTACCTCTGTATAATCGGGTACTTGCCAACTAGTCAAATTCCATACTTTTTTTCGAACTGTCTAAAACGCCAGTTTTCTATGAAGTTTGTACGAGAGCCCAGGTTTCCACACGATGTTTTCTTTCACCGTTTGTCAGTGGAGTCTAGATAATCTTAGAAAGTATTGTATTGAACAGTCGAAATAATTTATTTTTGATTATGTAAAGTACCCAATTCCGTCGCATGCGGTCACACTCCCGCCCTCTCTCTCACTCTATTTACTGACAGTTCTGAATAATGACAAATATAGAAGCACAGAAAGTGACTAAAAGGTGAAGGTTTCCTCCCCTCCACCCCGTACCCAATCCTCATATTCCTTACCCCCAGAAAGTTGTCGCGGAGAACCTAACGGGTTACCGGGGCTCCGGCTCGACGTGCAGGAGAAGGAACGGGGTGGTTTTTAGTCAGTAAGAGTCTGACACTCCCTCCCGCCTCACACAGGCAGGAGCTTTGATCATTCGATGATTAAAAAAAAACGGAAAGCTGGCAATACAATTGTTACTCCTATGTGTTGCGTGTGTCTATAGGCGGTTTCGGCGCCGATTGGTTTGGTATCAGGTGATTCGACTGCACATTAACCGCCCTGTATCATAAAAAATAGTAATTATTTTAGCTTAAATGTCTATTTTGTTTAAAGCATTTTAATATTAATTTTCAGACGCCAATCAAATCAGTTCGACGCGCCCAAATACACGGTGACTCCAGTGAGACGCAGTGCAAGGTTAAGTTCGCATTGGAGTGCAAAACGCACCCCGCTACAAGTTTGTACCAGCGTCCGACAAGCTGACGAAGTTTTAGGTGAAAAACCAGTGTTTGTGCCAAATGGTAGCCTATATGGCACTCCTTAACGTTTAAAATGCAATATTTTATGGGTTAAAGTTAAATTATTCTGTAAAAAAGGATGGAAATTGTACAATATGGTATAAAAAGTAGAAAGGAACGTCTATTTAACGATAAAAATATTTGAAATAATGTCTAAACCGACCTATTAATTTTAGAATAATATTTGACTGGCTAAAACAGCCCATTTTTATCTAAAACTAGTTCTATCTAAAACTGCGCGGTACAGTTTTACACACTCTACTCGGCTCCTATCGATCATAGCGTGATGTTTATCCTCGATAAATGGAGAACCCAACACAAAAAGAATAGGGTAGATGCCTAATTTATATTTTAATGTCCGTCTGGTAGATTATTTTAAATCATTGGACACGTATTTTTTATTTTCTTACAGAAACGAACACTTTCGACGATATATTGATTTGAAAAATGTCGCGTGGCGTCACTTCTTTGTACATTTTATATGTAGAAATGACGTTTTAGCCCCCACTCCGAAACTTTGATTCGTTTTATCTAAGTATTGTTTTATTATACGACTAGCTTCTGCCAGCGGCTTCGCCCGCGATCCCAGGGGTAAAATGCCTATGTATCACTTCAGACCATAATCTACCTCTGTTCCGAATTTCATTCCGGTCTCTTCAGTCGGTTTAATATGACTGAGTAACAAACATACACATAAACTCACATATTTTCATTTATAATATCGAGTCAAGCTAATTTCAACCATTGGCCTTTCAGTTATAGCGTAAAGTCTATGAATGAGTATTGTAAACGTTAGAGTAGACAAATACAATCAGAAATCACCGAATTGCTAAGTTATCGGGAGATTCACGTGTTATTGTGAGTCAACCATAAAAGATAGACATGTGCTGTCCAGGAATATTTTTTATATAATTTTAAGGAGAATATTTCCGTCCTACATGATTTCCATGTAGCTTTAACCTATAAGCCTGCACACGCGACGGAAGCTTAAAAAATGAAGTAACTTCTCCCGTTTCCCAATATTTCCCTTCACTGCTCTGCTCCTATTGATCGTAGCGTAATGAAAAGTATACTATAACCTGCCCAAGAGTATGAAGAATAATTGTGCCAAATTTCGTTAAAATCCGCCGAGTAGTTTTTGTTTCCATAACGAACATACAGACAGACAGACAGACAGACAAAAATTTTACTGATTGCATTTTTGGCATCAGTAGCGATCCCTAACCACCCCTTGATAGTTATTTTTTAAATATATTTTATGTACAGAATTGACCTCTCTACAGATTTATTATAAGTATAGATAAAATAAAAAAATACGTGTCTAATATTTTTTCATTACCTAACTTACGGACTAATTAGATTTTTGATTTTCATACCCTGTCATCATCCCTATTATTAAATTTGGATGAATAGTTCTGGAGTTCAGCATGTTTAAACAAACGAACTGTGTAGTTTGATGTCTTGCTACAGATTTCATATTAATTATCATGGAATTATGTTCTCAAATAAATGGCTAATTATAATAATTACTATAATGTTTTGTTTTTTAACCTAAACTATAATAATGTAAATATCTAACTAATTATGTTTTTCTTTTTGCTTTTAGTTAAGCTGACATTTATTGTATACAATAAAATTTTATTTCTTACACCAAAAATACGCTTAGAATTATCTTGTTTTATCTTTCTTTTCTCACATTATGTTATTGCGAGTGAATTAAAGAGGTTTATTTTAGTATATTTATGTTGTTTCATTTTGATTTTTTGCGTGCAAAAGGCAAAATTACACTTTCACTTGTTCACTGTCAAGTCTATATACATATATTATATAAATACGTAATGTTTTTAGGTATTACGATTTCAATAACGTAATTGAATACTTGAGCTGTGAATAATTATTTTGCGTTGAATGGTAATACAATTTGTGGAAAAAGAACAGATTTTAAAAATTGCGCACCGGTGGATGATAATATAATACAGCGTCATCTAGTAGTTCGCGCTGGAACTACTTGCTGTCATTTGCTTACAAAAAACTTACAATGGTAAATTTTAAAGAATTTATTTAATTTTTACAAGACTCTAAATAGTTATTATAATTTCTAGAACATATTTATGCATCAAATGCAATATTACATCAACAATTTACTGAAAAGCGTAGAAAAGTTACTAAAATTATAATACTATTTTACGATGGCAGCACTAGAAAAGTTTTGATTCGTGAATCGTGTTTCATTTCGTTCTTCGTCCGTGTGTGTCGCTGACAGCTTGTGACAGGCTGAGAAACAATTTTTCGAATTTCTGTGCCTTTGTGCGGGCCAATTTCTTTCTTTGTTTGTTGTGTTTGTACATAGAAATAAATCAAATCTTACATTGTTATCCTAGTTATAATTTTGGTGCTGTGCATGTGTTAATAAATTAAGAAGTCAGCTGTACAACAGCTGATTGTTGTGAATATTTTAATTTCGGTAAGTCATAGCTGTATTTTACTTTTTTTATTGTTTAAGGATTTATAAATATGTTTATACGGTAGTTTTAAAAGATTTTAAAATTATAAGTAGCTTTATTTGAACCATTTTATAAACGAACCATAAATAGTCGGTCGATTTTTTTATGACACGAGTTTCTGCGAAAAGGTCGTTTTCGATTTCAAGTTCAATGAAAAAGTTTCGTAAAAGTTTTATTATGTTGGTAGAACGTTGCAATGAGGAATAAAAGTTGCGTTCTGCAAACTTTTAGCACGATAAAAAAACTTACTTGAAAACCTTGATACTCTTGATAGGCTTTAACTTATAAAGTTTCCAATAAAGCAGATAGGTCATCAGATCATATTGGTTATTTTTCGCAGCAAATGTATTTATTGTCTAGTTGCTTACAAATATTACAAAATAAGTAGGTAAACTAATTTGCATCTCACTTATAAGTACCTACTTTGTGAAATCTGAAAAATACGCATTTTAAATGACTTAAAACAGCTTTAGTTCTTTTCTTTTGCCTATTAAAATACGATCTCCCTTTATTTCGTAGGACGCCAATCAGTCAGGCTTGTGTGTTCCAAATTATATGCATATTGCACAACTCCATGAAAACATTTTGGCAATGGAATTTTTCTGTAAAACGCCGTACCTACATCTGTGATGAATGAATTTATTTTAAGAATGTTGGTATTCGTAATATTATAATGTTAACGTAATTTCGCAATATGTGTGCCTACTTAGGAAATTAGTTTCATATTTCATGTCATGCGGCTTTTCGTTCCCGTGGGATTTTTTTTAATTTTTTTTTTAAGGGGGGAAAATCATCGAATGACTGCTCCCGCCTGGGTGAGGCGGAAGGGAGTGTCAGACTCTTACTGACTAAAAACCACCCCGTTCCTTCTCCTGCACGTCGAGCCGGAGCCCCGGTTACCCGTTAGGTTCTCCGCGGTTCCCGTGGGATAAAAAGTAACCGATATGTTATTTCGAACTATACCTACTTAATTTATCCCTGTTGCAAATTTAATCCCGTCCCCTTCAGCTGTTTTGACTTGATTGAGGAAAATAGATAGGGTACATGTACACGTAGACACCAACTTTCGCATTTATACATAATATTAGTACTTATAGTAATATGTAGGTCAAAGATCAAACTATGAGGTATCCTTTACCTATTACATATTTAATACCTACTGTATGGCGCGGAGAACCTAACGGGTTACCGGGGCTCGACGTGCAGGAAAAGGAACGGGGTCAACGGGGTGGTTTTTAGTCAGTAAGAGTCTGACACTAGGGAGTCTCATCTCACCCAGGCGGGAACAGTCATTCGATGATTATCCCCCCCTTAAAAAACATCCCCCCTTAAAAAAAATGCGAGTTTGCCGACCTAGATATGCCATAAAAACGTCCACTACAGAACATACCGATGACATTTCCCCAATGATTTCGAAATAGGCCGGTTGGACCTGCATCTTGCATCTAGCGGCTCCCTGCAACATTGTTTGTTCTCCTTGTGACTGATGTCTGACAGAAAAATAGAAATTGTACAATGATTGCACTGCACACCAAAACCCATGAGCTGATGGATAATTGTTACAGTGTTACTTTAGTTTTACGGCGCGACACGTTAGAGTCTTTTATGACGATAAGCCGGACGAGCAGACGGATCACATGATGTGAGTAATCGGCGTCGCCCACAAACACCCGGAACACCAGGTGCATTAGAAGTGCGTTGCGTTTGAGGATTGTTAGGGATTCGGGGATTGGGGAGTTGGGGGAGGGGGTGTTATTGGGTCTCCGGCAACCTCACTCATACGCTAAAACACTGCGCAAGTGTTGTTTCACGTCGATTTTCTGTGAGGCCGTGGTATCACTTCGGTCGAACCGGTATGATCCGCACTGGTGATGCCTCTAGTGTTTCAGATGTATAACTTGTCCCGCCTTACGACTAAAAAGCCCCCGGCTCCCGGTAACCCGTTATGTTCTCCGCCGGCGGCTCCGTATCGCCATCAGCCCAATTGGGCTCCATCCGTGGTGGTTTGATGGCTCTTTGAGGCGCGCGCGGAATGCGACGCGCCGTACGCTCGGGTCTGGTTCTGGTCGGGCGGCGAGCCACCCATGCTCGCTGTACGCAGCCCCGCGCGTACTTGCTTAGGCTACATTATCCGCTTACCATCAGGCGGGCCGGGCAGTAAGCTTTGTTGCTAGACAAAAACCCATAGTTTTTTTACGTCTACAACGCCCTAATAATTAGGGCGTTGTAGACGTAAAAAACTATTACAATTAGGGCCTAATTGTTGCTGGCGTTAGTACTGAAATATTTATAAAAACATGTTATCAGTTTTTTGTACCTTCTCAATGAATTAATTAGGAATTTATTATGTATTACAAGGACATATGAACCTGTTTTGATTATCATTTCAAATAACTACTTACTTTGAAGTGTTCTCAAGTGAAACTATTACTTGAAACATATATGTATATTGTTTAATTTATTAAACTCACGACTGTATTTTACTCAAACTTTAAATAAGTTAATTATTATGTTTTTCGACT